CCTCGCACAGCTAAGGCTGGAGGAGGGTATAGTGCAAGTCTTTCTGCTCCTGCACCGACCTTAGCAAGCGACGTTGCCGTCGGAAGGCTATGGAAGCCTCTTCCGCTTACCACTAATCCCACGCTTGCCACCTCTGCAAAGTCTCCCATCCTCGGCTCGAATTCACCTAGGGAAGATACAAACAGCATCTACGCCCTCCAATCGACCGATCTTTCGACAAACACAATCCACATCCTTCTCCTTCCAACGCGCAACCTTTCCACCTGGATGTCCATTCTTCCCTCTTCCGATCCGCTCTCATCCTTTTGCATCCCTGGAACCCACGAGAGCTGCGCGCTTTACGGATGGCCCATCTCCGCCTGTCAAGAAAGTACGTCTTCCATCGCTGTCCAACTCAACCGCGGCATACGATTCCTCGATATCCGTCTCGCACTGAAAGGTACACCCGGAAAGCAACTGCTCTATGCCTATCATGGAGTGACAGACCAAAAGATCGAATTTAGCGCGGTGCTGTCTCAGGTGTATGACTTCTTGGTAGCCAATGCGGGTGAAACAGTATTGATGAGCGTCAAACAGGAGAACAACATGGCCGGTTTCCTTGATTCTGTCTTCTCGTACATCAATCAAAACCCTAGCAAGTGGTATCTGGGCACCGGAATGCCAAAGTTGGGCGATGTTCGTGGCAAGATTGTTCTGATCTCCCGTTTTGGTAGCTCAGATTCTCAACCGGGAGGCATTCACCCTCCGATTTGGCCAGATTCCTCAAATAGCCCGTTCAACTACACTCTCCCAGACGGAACGACGGTCATGACGCAGGACTGGTACAACATCTCTTCACTCTCGGCGATTCCTACAAAACTGTCGCTGATTACCACCCTGCTCTCCTCCTCAGGTTCCGATCCGGCGATACTAGGGTTGAATTTCACAAATGGCTCCTCGTTCCCTTTTGCCCTTCCGCCATGGGTCGCAAAGGGTACAGGAGACCAGACGAAAGCGGCAAGCGGTGGAGGGTGGTTGCAAAATGTTGGTGTCAATGCGCTGCTCGTAGATCTCGTCGCAACGAGATTGAAAGGCGGCAACGCAGGGGCGATGAGAGGTGGACTGATGAACGTTTTTGCACTGGACTTCTTCGATCAGAACAATCTGGGTGCTGATTTGGCCAGTTTGATGGTTGAAGCCAACTTTCAGTAGTTCTCAGCTGTGACAGGTGGATGGAAACAAGACTACGCTATAAGGCTACAAATACTGTAATGGAATATGACAGATTCTGCTGCTGCTGTGAATAAAGGATTTTTCCAACACAGACCTGTGGGTGCGAATAGGTGTATCATACGTACTATCGGCAGCGTCGTGTGTGGGTCGGCTGTTTGTCAAGCATCTGGAGCGATCGGTATCACCCCGGGGTCACACACAGGTTTAAATCCCTAGTAGGATGGATGGAATTGAGGCATGAAAGTGTCGAGGTACAAGTACAAGTGTAGAGAGGGGTTCGGGTGTGCTGCTAAGATAGTTTAATCGCGTTCCAGGTCTGTTTGCGTGATGTTGCGATCAGAAAGAAGAAGAGTTCAATGTCAGCAACTTGCCCACGTTCCGCCTGGCTTCATCACCATCGTCCTCATGTCGATTCAATGATTCATGGGCCGTTACTCACTGATGTTATCTCCGAACTTGGCATAGAGCTTCACCTTCAACCCTTTCATCTCATCGTCGTAGCCTTCCAACTTCTCCTCCAGCCCTTTGATCTCATCATCCGCCTCTTGTTGTTCCTTTTCCAGCCTATCCATAGCCTCCTGATGGGGCAAGCTTACAAATGTGTCGGCAATCTTGTACAACACCTCTTCGTCTTCATCTGCAAGCTCTAGTTCCATCGCCAAGTCATCCAGAGCCTCGCGTTCCTCTTTGCGGATGCGAAGATCTTCCAAGAGATCGGAGTAGGTGGAGTTCAAGCGTGAAAAGGCATTAATGGATTGCTGATCTTCCCAGGTGACTTCGATCTCATTTGCTTCCTCTTCCGATAGCTGTGATATCCCAGATGGAAAAAAAGGTGAGATTGGTCGGGGTCAGCACGAGAGGAAGGAAAGCCCACGTGAGTGAGTGCACACGAGAGAGAGAAAGAGAGAGAGAGAGAGTCGGAAAAAAGGACAGCGTAAAGGTGGGACTGATAGCTGAACTACCTACCATGCGCATCTTGGGCAAGTTATGTCGGCGGTTTTGATGTGATTGAATGAGAATATGATGGTGATTGTAACGGTGAAGGGAGGACAAGAAGAAAGCAGTCGCTGTCAAACCGGTGCGAAAATACAAATTGCGCACGGCCAAATTCAAACACTCTTGTATTCCCAATTAGCCGCGTGCAGAGACCAACACTTGCCTCCCTTCAGTTACATGTTCGCTTGAACCTCCTATACCTCTCACCCTTCATTCCTCCCCTTATACCAGCGCCACCTGCATCTCACACCTTCACGCTTCGATATATTCCACAGAATGTGGTGAGAGCACCGCAACCTACTCTTGCCCAAGATGCTCCTCTGGCTGGTCCTACTCACGTTCTGCGCCGTCCTCTTTCCGGTGGTTGCGTTGCTCTGTCTCTGTCTTTACATTTCCGGCTATCGGTCGTCTTTGCGTTCCTCTTCGAAAGCATGTTTGGGTCGTTCAGCAGCCGTGGTGGTGTTGGGAGATATAGGTCGGAGTCCTCGCATGTGCTTCCACGTCGAATCGCTCGCCAATGAAGGCTGGAAAGTCGCTATTGTCGGTTATCCTGGTTCCACGCTTCCCCTCGCTCTCCAGCGATCCTCCATCCGCCAACATCACCTTCGCACACCGCCTTCATGGATCTCCCGGCTACCCCGAGCAGCGTTCATCGCAGTAGCCCCGTTCAAACTCCTCCTCCAAGCAGTATCCCTTTTTGTCGAGCTTACGACCCAGGTCCACCCCCCACCCGAGGTAGTACTCGTTCAAACGCCACCCGCACTCCCCACGCTTCTCGTCGTCAAAGCAGCCGCAGCACTGGTCAAAGCGCGAGTCATAATCGACTGGCATAACCTCGCATACACCATCTTGGCTCTGAGGTTGGGAGAGAAGAGCAAACTAGTCAGATTGGCCGAATGGTTGGAGAGGTGGAGTGGGAGGAAAGCGTATGCGCATCTGTTTGTTACAGAGGCGATGAAGAATCATTTGGACTTGAATTGGAGGCTGGAAGGCGAGAAAAAAGTGTTGCATGATCGACCTCCGGCGCATTTCAGAAGGACGAACCTGGCGGAATCGCATAGGTTGTTGGGCAAGTTAATACCTCAGCTGCAGCCGAGTGTGGGCGAGGATTGGCTGCCGGAGTACAACTTTCCCGAGTCGACGCCGTTCACCGAGTGGATACAGAAAGAGGGAGATGAAGCCGGTAAGAAGCAAAAGGAACCCGAGGAAGCCAAACAGGAAGGGGAAGCCGGGCTGCAGTGGAGACAAGATCGACCAGCACTTGTCGTTAGTTCTACGTCATGGACTGCCGATGAAGATTTCGGACTTCTCCTTCGTGCCGCTCGACTGTACGAGTACCGAGCTCGACTACTCTTGGAACCTGCTGCTTCTCAAACCGCCTCTCCCATGCATTCCCGCAGCAGCACCGGCGACAACACCAGTACCCTGTCTCCCATCTCCCCCTCTTGTTCCTCCTCAACCACTTCCCACTTCTCCTATAGCGACTCTGATCCCATCCGCACGTCCAAGGAACGCCGTCGCCCATCCCTCGGAGTCCTTCGCACCTCTACTTTACCCCACGAACCCGCCTCTTCCCTTCCCAAACTCCTCATAATCGTCACAGGTAAAGGTGAGCTCCGCGCCCGCTACCTTGCGGAAATCGCTCATCTTGAGACCACCGAGAAATGGCGTTTTGTCCGGATTCGAACGGCCTGGCTCGAAACCGAAGATTACCCTCTCTTGTTGGGATCGGCAGATGTCGGTGTCTCGCTGCACACCTCGAGCTCAGGCTTGGATTTGCCGATGAAAGTGGTCGATATGCTAGGGTGCGGATTACCCGTATGCGCGCTGGACTTTAGCTGCTTGGACGAATTGGTCAGGGATCGGTGGAACGGGGTCGTGTTCAGAGACGCCGAAGGGCTGGCGAGGCAATGGGAGAGTTTGTTGGCCACACATCCGGGGCCGAATTGGTTGGCGACGGGTGGAGGAATGGGAGACCCGTTCTGCCCGCCTCCACCAACACCGATGAATGGCAACGGAGGAATGTTGTTTGCGGGCGAAGGGCAGATTACCGCCCCGCCCATGAGTCCAAATCCGAGCATGACGCTCTTACACAGCCCCGGGTTGCCCCCCGGGACAGGCGGAAAGGTTGAAACAGCGAAGAGAAGCGGAAGGTCTACCTGGTCAGGAAATTGGAAACATGTCATGCGTCCATTGTTGGATCCTAGAAACGCTGCTGATGACGAGGATGAATCCACCGTCGACAGCTATCTGGCCAACACCTCTGCACTAAAGCTCGACACTGGCAACGAAGGTCTGCTGCAACGTCGGGCTAAACAAGGTTACGCCCCTGCCTCCAGCAAAGACGGATCTCTCCACCACACAAATGAAGAAAGTGAATACACCCAAGACAGGGATGCAGAGGATCTCGTTGTGAACAATGGCAAAGCGAGGAAAGGGTTTGGATTTGTTAGCCAAGCAGCTATTATCACAGATGGAGAAAGCCAGAAAGGTTTGAGACTGCGCAAATCGGTCAGCAAGCCCGAAGATTCACAGCTGCACACCTTGTCACCGACCGAAGACGCTATTCCTGCTATTGAGGTGTCGAAGCCTCCAACTCTGCCGTGATAGAGCAAAGAAAGCACAACCATTTATCCACTGGTCACCTACACCGAGTTTGTGTTATCTTTGCTGTGTTGTGAGCTGTCGAGGATGGAAACTGGAACACAACGTGGCCAAGGAGAGGCTTGACGCAGAGAGGATTTAGAACACAAGTATGTAAATGCAGTCTACGGTCACGTGTACCATCAAGTGGCGCTTTGGCGGAGTGGTTATCGCGTGGCACTAGAATCTTGCATTCTAGAGTATACTTCTACTCAACAATATATGCCATTCCCTCTGGGAGCATAGGTTCAAATCCTGTAGGCGTCGTTTCTTTTTTGCTTTGTTTTTTGTCAACACCTAGATCTGTCTTGAGGGTCATTTTTTTTTTTTTGCCCTGGCTTTTGAGATATCCTTACTGGCCGTGGGAGATCTGTGCTGTGTGATTAGTGAGATGAGGTTGCGAGACGAGGAGAGGAGAGGAACTCTTTGGTGAATCTGAACGTCTTGCGGCGACTTTCGGCAAATTGGACCCTGAATTGAGCTTGCTGAGGGTGGCAAAACGCAGAAGCCGCGGGAAAGACGCTCCCTCCTCCTCCACTTTGGGAAGAATTACACTAACCACCACATCTCACGACCATTCTACCACAAATTATCATTTCCTTTCACATCAAAGTAGTGAGTTTTTGGTCGTCCATCGTCTGGGTGACCTTGAGCTCGCTTATGCGTGAATTGGAGCTCACGCGCTTTCACAGTCATCGTAGAAACAAATAAGCAAAATTTGATCCAAAACGCTAGACGTATAAGTGAGTTTTTGGTCGTCCATCGTCTGGGTGACCTTGAGCTCGCTTATGCATGAATTGGAGCTCCGATTGTGTTGCATGAAAAAAGTGTGTCCCCTAGACGGTCGTATGGGTGACCAGCTCCGTACTAGGTCACCCATACGACCAAGTCGCGTGTTTCTCAGCCTGTAGTTCGGATCCGAGCAATCAATGTTTATTGTGTTGAAGCAGAATCTCAAGAAGTGTGTGTTTCGTCGCCTTTGAAAGTATGGTGTGAGTACTACCATCATATTTATTACCCCGCAAAACCTTAACCATTGTTTATCCGGCCATCCTGTCCGTCAACGGAGCTTCGAGACTCGAAACGCAAGCATGCAGGCCGAGAATTCGGTTCATGCATATCGAAAACGCCGGAGGCGAATACTTGCAGTGCTTTCCGTGCTCGGACGGAGAGCACCTACACGGCTCGCGGCCCAGCACTACCATCATATCCAAGCACAGCTTGATGATGTTCACTTCAAGTCTACATTCGGGCTCACAATCAGCGAATTTGAAGCTATACATCATGCTTTGAGATTGCCTGATCCAGTGAGAACGTCTGTGAATGATGTGAGTGATAGCAAGACGGCATTGCTCATGCTGTTGGCCTGGCTTCGAGGCAGTCGACTACGGTCGCTTGAAGGCCAATTTGGATGGTCTCACAGTCGAAGCAGCCGTATCATTCATCAAGTCAGCGAGTTCATACACAGACGGTGGTGTCACTTGCTCGATGTTACGAGCGCTCGTCATCGTTTGCTCAGTCCGCGGCGCCTGGATTACTACGCGGCGGCCATCGAGAGGAAGACTCGCTTGCCACAGTTCTGGGGTGCCATTGATGGTACTGTACGTCCTATTGCAATGCCAATCAATGAACAACGAGAAGCATATAATGGTCACAAGCGTGTGCATGCTCTCAAGTATCAGTTCATTGCCACGCCCGATGGTTTGCTGTTTGTGTCGGCGCCATTTGATGGACGCCGGCATGATGCTCATATGGTAATTGAGACTCACCTCGTGGCCTGGGCCGCGGAGAACGCAAAGGGCGAGGACGGCGAGCAGAGGTATCTCTACGGGGACCAAGCATACGGCGTCTCGCCGGCGATTATATCGCCGTTCAAGGGCAATCTCATTACCAGGAACCAGGAACTCACGAACCACGTGCTCGGTAAGTACCGAACGACGGTTGAATGGGGTATCGGAATGGTTTCAATGCAATGGCCGAGGTTTCGAGACAAGCAATATCAGCGGACTGGTCTCACACCGTGTGGAAGGGACTGGATGGTAGCGACGCTGCTTTGGAATGCAAAGACATGCTTGATTGGCAATCAGATAAGCATTTCAATGGGATGTAATCCTCCGACGCTTGAGGAGTACTTCTCCTCGCCACGTGTGGTCGTCTCTACGGCCTTGACAAATCCCGCGGAAAACAGCTCAGGTATCAATTCTCCGGAACATGCAGACAACAACGACGAGGTCACGGTCAATGAAGTTCTTTGATTGCAATGAATGTATATACATGAATATAACTAGTTATGAAAGCCACCGTATCTGCCTGTGCGTGACTGTGAAGGCGCTCGAGAGCTACGGCGCCGAGAAGGAGATGCACGAGTGGGAGTGATGGAGGCGGAAGTATCAATCGAGACAGCGCGATGACGTTGAGGCGTCCGAGGTTCCTCGTCAATGGTAGGGATGAGCTGATGTCTTGCTCCGGCCGAAGGTTGCTGTCCTGTATGTGCCGTGAGTAAGCTTACCATACGATTGATGTTGTTCTCCATGCTATCAAAGCGAGTCTTCAAGTCTCGGATGTCTGTAGTCACGGCATTGATGAGCGATGAGCCAATGCCAACCATGTCTTGCTGAATACGGAGAGACTTGGACCGGTATCGCTCGTCTGCACGTCGTTGCTCCTTGTCGTTCTCAATCATCATTGCCAGTGCCTCGTGAGTTGCATTCCGAGCCCGCTTGCGAGCGGGCGTACCAGCTACGGAATCAAGAGAAGTATCACTCTCTTCATCAACAGGCTGTGAAGATGATGGCATTTCTTGTGATGATAACGCCTGCTGAGTATGGCTTGACATTGACTGTGAGGCCGCCGTGCCATGGATACGGCCAGTGAGCTCCGAAAGTCGCCGTCGATGTTGTTCAGCAGTCTCACGGGCGATGCGTCCGTACGACGAGGCGACATCCGACTGTATAACATCGTCGACAAGGCGCTCCATTTCCGAACGGAGCTCGACGATGCCGGAAGAGCTAGCGAGCTCGCGATCCTCATGTTTCCGGTTCGAATATATTTGCTTCCACTTCTCCTTGATGCCTTGCATTGATCGCTTACGTTGCCCGAGGCCAACAAAGACAACGTTGACCTCCTCGAGTACACGTTTCCATGCTGCCCCCTTGTCCATGTTCGTTCTGTGCTTGTACGGGTTGTGATTGTGCACAGCAAGGATGAGCACTTCAACATCGTCCGGCGTCCAATGGTTCTTGTTGCCTCTTGAGCTTGACATTGACACAGGCACAGACATCACAGACTGAGATGATCGCGACGGAGCAACAGACTGTGATTGCGATGCTTGTGGTACATATCGTAGCTCTTGTGAATTGCTAGGAGATTCGGGAGGTAGTGACGGCCGTTGCATCATCTGTTGGCGAAAGACCTGGCTCATATCGACGATGTCGGGCATTTCGTCCATTTCCGTGCTCTCAAGAGCCAGAAAAGATGGCCTGAGAGACTCTGGAAGGCGAGCGAGGGCTGGATCAAGCTGAGGATTGGTGTTCATGGTAGTACGAGGCCGTTCCGGTGCCGAACGGAGTCGAGGTGTGTATATGAAGTCAGGAACACCGGTCGATGCACGCCGAGCAAACAACTTCATTTCATAAACGCCGACGGTGCCTGATCGCGACGAGCACTACTACCATCACGTTGATCTGTGTATCATTGATATTGGCCCTATAATTTCCCGATTTAATGTTGAGAAATGCTTAATAATCACACAGACGCGTCACATGCATCACGTGCTTTGAAAATTATTTAATTCAAAGCTGAGCTCAAACGTGTGCAACCCAAACGATGCTCTTAACCACCATCTCTACCTCGTCGTCTGGGTTGTCAGCTTCAACCCAGACCACCACCCATACGACGGACGACCGAAACCTCCCTAGTATCGACATGAAAGCATCAAGAACGAGATTCATACCACACTTTCCCGCCTCGCGAAGCATCGCATCAACATCGCGATTACGTTCTGCTCGACTTCTCTCGACCACCACCGCCACGTCCAATTCCAATCGGCCTGCAGATCCGGCCGGGCAAGGGCAGAGCAATAGCGGGCTCACCGGAGCAGACAAACTCCTCGCCGAAGCTCTTCAACAAGAAGCGGAAGAAGAAGCAGCCTTAAATGCTCAATCTCGGACACAAGATCCCAACGACCCAATATGGACAGGCGAAGAACGTGTCCAAGACACAGTTCTTCGGATGGTCATGGACAAGTACAAGCCCTTGCGCATCCGATTGGGAGATGAAAGCAAGGATCCTGCGGATGAAAAGATTCGGGCTGGCATCCAAACACCTTCCGCCCCCGGTGCCATCGCCTCGAGTCTGGACGAAGGGAGCAAATTGTTCGTAGAACCAGCGGTCGGAGAAGGGCAGCATGAGGACGGGAGAAAGCTGCCCAAGACGCCAGATCAGAAGCCGTGGAGGGCGGTTTATGTCCGGCCTGCCCATCTGTTGGGGAGTGGAGCGGCGGAAGATGCCCCTAGTGTGTACTATGGGCAGTTCCTGAAGTCTTCGAGCAGCGGTATGGTGGGGAAAGGTGGAGCTAGTAGCGAGTTGAGGAGTAAGCTCAAAGCGGCAGGTGTCAACGTCTCTGCTCTCCCCTTGGACAACCCAAAGGCAATGACACAGCTGCGACAAGGGATCAAGACTGCCGAACGCCGCGGAAAGCTATTACGTGCACGAGATTCCGTTCTCGACTATCAACTATCTCGCCCCTCCTCCTCTTCCCCCTCTTCGGAAGAAGTCAAGGGCGACGAATTATCCAACACCACCGAAAACCTTCAACTTCAACTTGGCCATGCACAGGGCTGGGATTCCGTCATCGAAAAACGCATCAAGGCTGCACTCGATTCCGGCCTCTTTAAAGAGAACAAGTTACGCGGAAAGCCAATCCGGCGAGACATGGAGGAGAAAAATCCTTTCCTAGCAAGAGAAGAGTACTTTATGAATAGAATTGTCAAGAGACAGGGTGCGGCGCCGCCTTGGGTAGAGTTGAACATGGAATTGGAAAGCGAGTTGGGGAGTTGGAGGGGGAGAGTGGTTGATGGATGGGTGAGGCGGGCTAGTCGGATGATCACTACTAGTGGGACGCTCAGTGAGGGGTTGGAGCCGCTGCCTCTGCCGAGTAGCTCTGGCGCTAATGCGATAGAAGGAGGGGAGATGGATCCGACCATAGCACCGGGGGAGAAGGGAGCCGAGGCGAAACTTGTACTCGAAATTCCGGCAGCAAGGACCCC